CGACGCGAAAGAGAGAAAGAGAGGGATTGTGTACATATATAAACTTCACTTTTTCTTTCTTTCGCGTCGCGTCGTGACGCGATGGACGACGCGACGCGTGACGCCCTCAGTAGAAACGTACCATAAGTCATAGTCATAAATTAGAAATTAGAAGCTGGAAATTGACCAATCACAGTCAAATGAAAAGAGAATAACCGACTATGATTGGTCAATTCTTACAGATTACGGAAAAAGTTAACAGAATACGGTCTATTATAAACCAACACTTAATCCGAATTTACAATAGAATTTTAAGCCTTTAGCCATAAAAATTAAAGAACCATAGTCAATTATTCTCCTCGCATTCGACTGTAATTGGTCAATTTCTTACAGCTTAAGCTTAAAACACTTATTGTAGATCCAGACTATGTCCATTAGAAATGTACGAATCACAATTGCTTATTCTTCTCGGATTCGATTGTAACTGGTCAATGTCTTACGGCTTAAGGCTAAAAATATCTTATTGATCCGGGGTAACCCCGGATCTACAATAGGGTTTTAAGCCTTAAGCCATAAGAAATGGGCGAATCACAGTCGCTTATTCTTCTCGGATTCGACTGTAATTGGTCAATTTCTTATGGCTTAAGGCTTAAAACACCTATTGTAGATTCGGTCTTACAGTAAGCTATTAATCATAAATCAGAAATCAAAAGCTAAAAATTGATCAATCACTGTCGCCAACTTTTAGCTTCTGACTTCTGATTTGTAATAAAAAATAGGGTTCTAAACCATAAGCCATAAGAAATGGACGAACCATAGTTGATTATTCTCCTTAAATTCAACTATAAGTCCGGATCTACAATAGATGTTTTAAGCCTTAAGTCGCTTATTCTCCTCGGATTCGACTATAAGTCCGGATCTACAATAGGTGTTTTATGTCTCATGCCGTAAGAAATTGACCAATTACAGTCGAATCCGAGAAGAATAAGCGACTATGATTCGCCCATTTCTTATGGCTTAAGGCTTAAAACCCTATTATAGATCCGGACTGACTCTGCAAACACAATAGAATAGTAGGTCTTAAGCCTTAAGAAATTGATCAATCACAGTCGAATGTGAGAAGAATAATCGACTACGATCATCGACATCTAGAATGGACCGCTGATGGCAATGGTGGCGGTAGAAAGACGATTAGAGTGAGAGGCAGGAATAATAAGATCGTTCTTTCTC